AGGAATCCTCTTACAATGACGTCTCTCTCAAGTTCCAATATCAAATTAGTACTATGATAGTAAATTATTTATAAATCGAGAATTAAATTTTGTTAATCCTAAAATTCTATCTTACATATCTTCAAATTCTTAACGATTTTCTCAATTCCTTGAATAGACAATCAGTTCTGATATTTATCTTAAATCCTAATACCAAATAAAATCTAATAAAAATATGTTTAACTGAGAATGAACATTAAGCCCATTTCACATTATTATTTGTTGTTTCAGCTATTTGCTAGATCAATTTCCAAATTATAAGAAACAAGGATCTTTAGAATAATGCAGTATTGCGTGTCTCTTCATTAATTAGGTAGAAGTTTTTTTTTACTTTTATCCTTAAATAATTTTATATATTTTACTATCCTTATTTTATTTATTCTGGCATATATGATACATTTTGACGTGCATTAGTAATAAATATTTCGGTTATTGTTAGTTAAAAAGAAATAAGAATTCAAAATATTCAAAACCCCCAATAGCATGATGATGATGATGTACATATAAAAAAACAAATATTTCGATAGCCCAGTGGGTTAGTACTTTTGGTGGATTTTGGAGTGTCAGACTTTGACTTTCAGCATCTACTAATGTAATTTCTAACACTTCTTGCCTTGTAAATATATATATATATATATATATATATACCTTAGGGGAGATCTATGTAATCTACTATGTAATCTAATCTATATATATATATATATATATATACCTTAGGGGAGATCTATGTAATCTAATCTATATATATATATATATATATATATAAATATAGATTAGATTACATAGATCTCCCCTAAGGTTTTTATTCCTTATTTACCAAATTACATTTACATCTCTTGAAATTTTTGTGCAAATAACACATACCTCCCATTCGTTAACAATCATTGTCAAAAAAATTTTGATGCCAGCAATTTTGTAACTTTCAAATTCAAATTCTATCTACAATAAAATATAATGTATACGATATATATAAGGATATAAACATAATTACAAACTCTGCAAGTTTAACAGGGGAAGTCAGTGTAATCTAGCAAACAAGATAGGAGGTTAGAATATATTGATGAAACTTAATATATATATATATATATATATATATATATATATATATATATGTATGTATAATCTATTTAGTTGGATTAAGTCTGTAATACCCCGTAATTTATTAAAGAGTTTAGGTATGTAAATTCAATTATGTGTGGATTCCTTTACCTATTATTGTGCATACTGCATTGTTATATTAAGTTCATTTAATGGTGCATGTAAATTAATTGTGTATGTTAAAATAGTAAATTTATTCATTTAATTGTGCATGTATTATTATAATTAATTTTATTTGTTGATTATGTTTAATTAAGCATTATTAGTTAATTAAAGTATTATATTTGTGTTATAAAGTATTATGATGATATAATGTATTCTTATGTAAAATTATAATAATAATAATAATAGTTTAATAATATAATAATAATAATAATATAATAATAATAATTATAAAAGTTTATTAATAATAATAATAGTTATAATAATAATAATAGTATTAAACCAATGTCATGATGGAATTAGAGATTATGATAGGATTTCATCAATGTTTATGGGTGGACTTGAAGCCATATGGTTGGGAAGATGGTTAGTAGATGAAAAAAATTAGATATTTGTAATATTTATATTATATATTTTGTATATAAATTAACTAGCTTACCTTAGAAGAAAAGAAAGGGAGTTAGAAGCAAAGTATAAATTCTAGTGAGCTATTTTATAAGAGTGAAAGGAAAAGAGTGAAAGGAAAAGTGTAGGCGATTTTACCCGACTACGCGCAGACCGGCGGATTTATTTTAAATCCAAAAAGGCAAGTTATTATCTATTTTTCCCCTTTGAATTTATAAATTAATTGTTTAGTTTATTGATATTATTTTAGAGCATAGAGACCATGTAAGGAGTTAAATAAATTAGGGATTTTAGTTTATTAAATTAATGAAATTTTAATTATATAGGATGGTATATATTTATTTAATATCCTATGAAATTAATAATGGCCGAAAATAATTAAATAAGGCTTTAGGGATTTTTCTAGAATTTTCTAGATTTTTCCGGGGCTTTTCTGCAATTTCCGGCGAATCTCCGGCGAAGATTCCGGCCACCGGCAGTGAAGAAGATGACCGGAGTGATCCGGTGTGATGCGGCGCATGGTAGGTTAGTGCGCGCGTGCATCCTGGCCATTGGTAGGGTCTGATTGATCCGGTGCATCGCGGTCCATGCTACCGCGGTACACCCGGATCTATGAGCACAGGATTGAGTGATGAGAGGGTGAGATGATTCAGTGTAGCGCACCCATAGTAGGATGATGCAACCACCGAATCAGGAGCCGCCGCGTCAGCAAGGTACCATTGGTGCGCGCGTGGCAGCGCGTGCGCGCGCGTGGAACTCTCCAGACGAGCGTGGGAGCGCGTGCGCGCGCGTGGCTGATGCCAGACGCGCGTGGAGGCACGTGGGAGAGTTGGGAAGGTTGGGCTGCGCGTGGGGAGGCTCTGGGAGGCGCGTGAGGGCGCGTGAGGGCGCGTGTGGGGTCTCTACAGCTACTGGAAATTACCAGAATACCCCTAGGGCCTGTTTTGTAAATTCCAGAACCTTAAACTTGGATTTTTAGGTACTGAGTTGGTATTTGCGGGTTTAACGGGTCACGAAATTATTATTTTAATACCCGTTACTTATTCTTATGGCCGATTAATCTTTTCTAAGCATTTATTGGCTCGTTCACAGTACAGATAATAATGTGATTTATTTAACGACATTGTTAAATATAAATAGTGTTATTATCTTGTTAAATGTTATCAACCATTACTGATAAATTAAATAAGGCCATGGTTGTAGTCAGATAAATTATCCATGATATCTTATGGGATGTTTATACTGTTAATTGATATATAAACCATGATCATTATGCTGTGTGCATTTCAGGAAATAAATGGACTGTTTAATTATGTCGCATTTATATTATATGGATGTGTTACCATATAGAACTATATGAGCTGGCTAATAAGTTTAGACTCATTTATACCTTATGCATTCGTTGCGATAGACAGATGTGTGGCTGTCGGGGTATGTGGTTTAATATTATTGGCATGTGTTGCCTAATTGACATACTCGGTATATTTATTAATATTGTTGGCATGTGTTGCCTAATTTATATGCTCAGTATATTCATCAGTACTTTGCGAGGTGTTATCACTGTGTAGTTCGTTATAGTCTGTGTTGTCAGTACCGTGCACCATATATAATAGCTGATTTCCTGGGTAGGGAAAGGCGACACTTAACCACCTAGTGTGAGTCTAAGTGATCACCGTCTATTCTGGTTGAGGTCATGTTATACATCGGATAGTTCCCGTAGGATGTATACAGATATAGTACTCATCCGATTCATAATGATTAATTTATTTGATTCTCTGATTTGGGTCATAGTAGAGAGGATTTGCTCGTGGGGTTGACCCACCATTGTTGTTATTTCAGGATACGGTCAGTATCCGTTTCAAGGTTGAGGTTAGCAATGTGGGACCACCATCCGAACTCATCTACTCTTACGATCCAGTCCAGGGTAGAAGTTTTACGTATTACTTCAGTTTCAGTTTTTATTTACTTTTGACGTCGAACTCTCAGGTTTATATTTAGGGATCCTTGACATAGGATTTCCAAGTTGTAATGGAGGACTGTATTTAAATAAAAGATGGATGGATGTTGTATTATTTAATGTTTCTTTCCTGTCTAAATTCTTTTATTTCCATCATTTTGTATTCCATGCTTGTATATTGCCAATTGTTTTTGATATCCCTCGTTTTTCGTGTATAAGCCTGATCAACTTATGCGTGGAAAATGTGGGGGTGTTACAAAGTCTTTCCAAAATTATTGTCAAAATAATATGTAAAAAAATAATGTTTATTTAATAAGTATATACATACATGATCATGGTTGTTGAGCTCTGCCTTCATTTACTAATTTCATTCATTGTTAACTATGGGGCTATGAATTAATTTGGAAACTAAAATTTGAAGGTTTTTTACCTTGTTAAAAGAACAAACTCATGTATCTTCTTTTGTCTATAGAGACTTAAACTCTCAACTTTAATTTTGGAAGACGAGAAAGCATAAGGAGATTACAATACCTTTCATTACAATTTAAAAGTCATACCAAAAGGAAATTGGGTATAAAAGACCGAACATTTTCAATCCCCATCTTGCAAATATTTAAAAGGTTTTTTTTTTTTTTTTTTTTTTTTTTTTTTTTTTTCTTTTAAATATTTAATCTAAATCACTAAATTTTAAATGCATGACATACATGAGATAGTTGGGGCATCTCTTGCATCATTTTGAAATATGAAAATATATTTTGTGAAATGTGAAGTCAATTGTCATATGTTGATCAATAATAAATAACACCCGTTAACCAAGGAAGATATTAATACAGTTTTTTTTTTCTTAACACACTCATTTTGTCTCTTATTATCACTAGAACACTAAGCCTTGTATTTTAATAAAATAGGAAAAACATCAATCGACTACAAATTGTAGCTATTTGTGCCATTTTAGTAGGAAATTACAGGTCCAATATGAATTATGTCTATAAAATCCAATTTTAATTTGGATCCGAAAATGAATTTTACTCTGAAATTCAGGTTCCATTTCTTTCTCTTATGCATTGACAAATTACAATAGCAAGCCATCAGCATGAGCTGAGCCAAAAGTGACAATAGAAAGCCACATATAATATATATATATGTATACACACACACTCCGTATGAATTACATGGTCGGACACTAGTACTAACATTTCTATATGTGTGGGTTTCGAACCATGGTTAAAGGGTGACCTCAGCCGGGTTTAGTTTAACGATTCTCTCTCTCATTTGATGTGGTTGGATATTAGCTGTCAAATATAAAAACAAAATCAGTTTTCAACATTATATTATTATATATATATACACACGAAACACTTTCAAACACCCCTTCCCCTCCTCCGGTCCACTCAACGGGGCCAAAAAAAACACATACACACAGTCCTTGCTTTCTCACTGGAACCTTTTATATCACTCTCCGTTCAACTTTCTCTCTTCTCCGACCACTCTCCGGCGACTTCACTTTTCACGCCAATCAAAGGCTCAAACTTCATCTAAAATTCCATCAAATTTCACTCAAAACTCTCGTTGATAGAACATTTACTACTTTGAATGCGAAGCAATTTGCTGTTATCTTCCCTTTCAACGGACTCTCCGGCGAGTTTTGAGTTGTTCCGGTGAGTCTCCAGTGACGCTGACTGTTTTTGGTAGTTTTATGTGATGATTTTGAAAGTTTTTCGGTCTATTTTCGTATGCTAGGGGTTTCGCAGTATTGTTTAAACATAGAGAGAGAAAATTTTGGAGAGAGAGAGTGATTGGTGGCGTTTCTGATGCTACTACTGACTCAAATCCCTAAGCCCTTTTCAACAAAAAGCGAAGAGAGAGACTATTTCAGAGAGAGAAAGTTTTAGCTTTGAATCAACACTTCCTTTCGAGTTTTGGAGGTAGGGCTTTGAAGAGCTCCACTAAAGCTTGAGATTAGTATTGTGATGCAGAGTAAAAATTCATTGTGAGTTCTCTAACTTTTCCATGCCTACTTGTTAAAGAAAAATTTCTGGTTCTGTTAATTTTTCTTTTTTTAATTGCTTGAAAAATTTATTGAGGGTTTGTTGAATTGATGTGTTTAATTGCGTGCTCCATTAAATAATGTGATTCTATTGATGAGATTGTCAGGACATGCTTTTGCTATCTAGAGTAGATTGCTTGTCCTCTTCATTGCTATCTCATGTGGGTATTTAATTGTGTATGAAAGAAGAGGATGGATTAAAATATTAGTATTAATTAATTGCTATACCTGTAATGAAGGACATATGAGAAGATCTTGTACGCCAATGCATATATTAATGGTTCATGAACTATATAAATTTGTAATCTGGGCCCACCCAAATTGATTTCTTTATTTCAGTTGTTATCAATCACATTAACATATAGTTAGGGATTATCTTAATGTCATTGTTATAAGCCGGAAATCAATGCAATTGTATCGTTCAATTTGGTGTTGTCTTCCAGATAATCATTCAGAGAGATGCTTTCAGGCGTGTTGATTGAAACCAATTGAGTTGGTGCATGTATGCAATGATTTACTAGTTCAGTTTAATTATGTACCATGGCCTATCCGAGAAAACCCTCCTAGAGGGCATAGATTCTGGACAGGATGATTCAAATGCATTTTTAAATTGATCAAGGAAAGTTGTTTGTTTGTATGGCTACAGTTGTTTAATTGTGTAATCATATATATTTTTTTATTTAATTATAAAATAATAGTTTTAACAACCCTTAATTTTTTTATGTTATATGTGACTGATGTACCTAATGTTTCTTTGACCAAAACAGTGCATGCATTTTCAGTTTATATAGCATATTCATACGTATCAATGTTACATTATTCTTGTGTTGTCGGCAGTAATTGTTATTACAATTTGTAATGAGGATCCCCTATAAACAAATATTGATCACAGTGGTTTTGTTTATATTAGGACTAGAATGGTTTTGTTCTATCGAGGATGTTTCTTGTTTGTATTAGGACCAGAATGGTTTTGTTCTACCTGGGATGTTTCTTAACCAAGATCAACCTCAATGACATCCCGACCGTTTATCTTCTCTTGTCCAGAATCCTAGCAGGAAGGGCTTTCTGCTTCTTGTCAGTTGTCTTCTGAAGATGTTTCACTCATTATAAGAATGTTTCTTAAACAAAATCAACCTCACTGACACTTGTACCATTATTGTCTTCTTGTTGAAAATTTTGACACGGATAACTTTTCACAAGTTGTCTCTATGAGTATTTTTTCACTCAAGTAGGATGTATTAAACGAAATTAACCTCAATGAAACTTCATCCATTTGTCTTTTTATTTATTTATTCGATGCGAATTCTAGCACGGGCATCATATTGGTCTCTCTGAAGATGTTTGCTCATTATATATCACCCACCCAAATTCAAGTTAGGTCTTTTCCCCCTTTTTTGAATGTAATATGATAAATGTAAATAAGAGATTATTTATTAATCATTACATTTTTCAAATGCAAAACTCAGCAGGTGATAGCCCTCCTAATAATATGCTGCTTCTGCTTCTTGTTATTAGAAGGAGCCAATTATTGATAATAGAATAATACTTAGCATGTAATATGTCTTACATTGACTCTGTTTCCTAGTTACCCACCAAAAAGCGTTCTAATTTAAAACCAGCAAGCGTTACTGGCTTTCTTAAAATCATATGGAATGCAGAGGTAATTGATTAGGCGGACATGTTTGAGAATTGAGGTTCATTTTAAGTTAGTAAGGGTAGACCTGTAGCGGGTGCTATAGGCATTGATTTGTCATTTCTGTGAAAGCACACTAGCATGTCTCCTATGGGAAAGCAATTATTATTTTAAAATAAATATATACCATTTTGAAGTGTTCCATCTCTGATTTAGATATCTTCTGCAATGGTAGCAAAATGCTTGACTTTGTATTAATTATGCCAGACAATCTAAATAGTTTATGGTTTGAGATTATTTGCTGCATTTTCTGACAGTACTGGGGAACTGCTGAAATTTTATGTGGTAGCTAGTTATGTTGATAGCTGATGTGGATGTTAATTGCCATGCTGTTGTATTCTTCTTTTATGCATGTTGATCCTTTCACAATTTTTTTATCTAGTGAGAAGAAGTGATTACGGGAGAGATGATGGAACACAAAAGGAGCCCCGTCTCTGTTGATCAAGGCAGTCTCACTTCTCTTGCACCTAAACGACACAAGGCCAATATGTCCATCTCTTCCAAGGTTTCTTCTCTTCTCCTATTATCTGCAACCATCGTCTATAGCTCTATGCCTTTTCTCCTTTTTGGATGTGTGTGTGTATTGAGGGTATGTTGTGGACAATAAATATTTCCAATAGCCACCAGCGTTAGTTAATATGCTATTTTGTTCGGTGATATTATGATAGTGAAGATTTATTTCCCCACAATGAAATTGATTTCAACATCAGTATCAAAGCCTTTCTGTGAGGAAGCAGGCAACGGCTGATCTTTATAAATAAAATCCTTTCTCTAAGTTCCACTCTGCTGTGCTACAATTCCCCTTTACTGGTAATCTGATATGGTAGATCTGGGATTATATTGGAGACGTCCACTTATAATACTTATATTTTGCCATTTGTGCTATTACAGATCAAAACACTCATTTGCAGAGTACTGGTATTTTTCTTCATGTAAAATACTAAAAACCCCTCCAAGTAGTATGGCATCATGTGTTAGTAATTACAGGAACTGTAGAATTAGTAATTCCGGAGCATATACACCCCTGAATAGGCTATTGGACTTTATAATTTATTCCACTGGCCATTTGAAATTGTTCTTCCTATGAGTTAGTTCCACATGCAGTTCGTGAAATTGATTACTCTGTCTATCCAAAACTTTAAGCTTTATTAAGCTTTTGGAGCTGATTATTGTGGCATGACACCCAGAAAACGGAATTTTAAGGCCTATTCGTTTGACTTATAGATCCGTTCTTTACCTTGTGCTTTTTACTTTGCACGTCTTTAACTGATATATATATTTTGGCAATAGGAGAGAAAAGAGAAGGTTGGCGAACGAATAACAGCTCTTCAACAGATTGTTTCACCATATGGGAAGGTAAACATGACAACTTAAATCTCTCTTATCAGGAATAGATTAACATTTCCCTTCCAATTTCTTTTTTGTTTTGTTTTGTTTTTTTTTTCCTAGTTGGTACTCACACACACTTGTCTCTTTTGAGACTTGAACCCCTAACATCCCTTTGGGAAGTAAGAGGCTGGTACCACTAGGCCACTGACCCATTGGTGTTCCCTTCCAATTTCATAATCAAGGTGTTTGAGGTGGGTTTACAAATAATAGTAAGATTGTTGGATCCTCCTTAAACTACAGTGATGACCAAAAAGAGTATCCCAGTGGACTTAAAATACTGTTAAGTTTATATTATAGCTCATCCAATAAATTTGTAATGCCAGAATTATTTACTCTTGTGATTTTAAAGCCTTCTAAATTTATTGCAGACAGATACGGCTTCTGTCCTTTTGGAGGCAATGGAATATATTCAGTTTCTCCATGAACAAGTGAAGGTTTGGTCTTCCTCTGCTTTATGTTGCTTAAAAATTACCTAGCTGTTTATTTTCACGCGTATGGGATGTCTTTGAAGTAACTAGTGGCCACCTGTAATGTTGCTTTGAAATCACATGTCCAAATTAACAACCCCATGATGGAGTTAAGGATCTGCAGTGCGGGTCATTATAGTATCAGTTGTCCAAGATCATCCAAATCTCTTTTTTGTTCTAAAGGAAAGAATGTATGTTTAAATTGGTTATTATTGTCATTCAGTTCTTGTTTGAGTTTTAAAATCTTTGGATAAATTATACTCACCTCCCCTGACACACGGCTAATTGTACGGACCTCCCTTGCTGATTAAAAAATACACTGAGCTCCCTAGGGTTAGTACTTTGTAACAGAATCCTCTCCTACTTAACAGTCAACAAAGTCAAAGGCTAGTATCTGCTTCCATTAGCAAAATTAAATTTTCAAAACTTCCCTTTTCAACCAGAATTTTATAATGTGTTGAGGGAAAAAAGGTAAATTCAATCCATCTTAATGCTGTTCAACGGGAACTGTCTGACAAGGGAGGCTGGTATTATTTTTGAACCAATAGGGGAGATATGTGTAATTACACTATTTCAGGGGAGGTGAATGTAATTTACCCAAAAAAAATTTAGAGCACATTGTTGATACTTGGGTCTTTTTATTTTCTCATTTGCAATTGCCAGACTTCAGAGCTACACGTTGAAGATTATTATTCCTTGCAAAAACAAGCTCATTTTTAAGTTGGTCTTTTTCAAAAAGGCGAATGTTTTTATTTTTATTTTTATGTGGAGTCTGTGAATATCGCCACTCAGTTTTTGTTTTTTTGTTTTTTAATGCAAAAAAAACTTAAAGCTTAAAGCCTTATTAAGTTATACATCTTTCTGGTTTAACCTATATGAATTTCCTATATCGGGCAACAAAAAAAAAAAAAAGGAAAAGGAAAAAAAGATCAGTGTTTAGAGTTAGAGCTCTGGCGTTGATAATACAAGAAATCTGGAATAGAGAGTATCTTTTTGACTCTGTGTAATACAAGTTCTGATTTGCTGTAATAAATGCAACTAAATTCAGTCCGAGACGTACAATTGAACTAAATTTTTTGTGTTTGATTTTTCTCTTGGTAATAATTTGATCTTTTAAACCTTTGCTTTTGGTTTTGTGAATGGTTTTTAGGTGTTGAGTGCTCCATACATCCAGAGTACCCCCGCAGCAGAGATGCAGGTGAGCATTTGCTGGCGTAACTACTTAGATTTAGTTGTCTGGGTTGTGATCTTTCTTTCTCAAAGAAAGCATATAAGTAAATTCTCATGGAGGACATTGTTTGATGCTCCTAACGCCAATAGATCCTATACTTTTTTTTTCCTAACAGCCAAGGAAATGATACTATTCCCATATATTTACATGGCATTTGAAGCCCTAAATCCATCATCCAGAATGGAACCATCTTAGTACTATATCATTTTTGAGGATTTTAAGGGGCGACACTCACAAACTATCATATTTGGTGACAGATCCAATTCTCTATGATTGATTCCATACCGGTTGACGGACTGTTGTCCGATTTCATTTTTCATGGGATGTTAGAGTTTCCCTGTACTTTGAATGATATAGTAATTGCTTTTCGAATACCTATTCATAATATACCTTGGTTGTGTTACTTCCTTTTAGGAATTGGAGCCATACAGCCTTAGAAGCAAAGGCTTATGTCTTGTGCCAATTTCATTGACTTTTGGAGTTGCTAGCAGCAATGGTGCTGATATCTGGACACCCATCAAGAACAGTTCCCCGAAATTTTAGAAGGCTATCTTGCATGAAACAGTTGCACGATTCGTCATTAAGTAACAAAAGGGTTTCGGATTTGGTAGATATGGTTCGTAGAGGGTGGCCAAACTTTTTTCTGAACGCGGATATGCTAATTCCTAACAAATATCCAGCAAGGTGCACTTGATAGGATTTCAGGTAGGAGCAACTTATCAAATTTCTTACGGTGAACTCTTCAGAACGGAACCGGCTGCTGTTTCAAATCAATTTGGTTTGAAAATGGTAATGATACAATAGGTGTATGTATTCTAATATTTTGGGAAATCATATGTTGATGGACATGGAGTTGTCTAATGACTTCAGCAGTAAATGTATTTAGGAAGGGCAGTGTCGTAATATGTATAAATGGCTGCCTGGTTTATGAATCTAGATTACTGTAATTGATCTGTCCCTTTCCCTTAGCCCCTTACAGGGATAATATTCTGTTTGTGTAAGTCAAGAAGAAAATGAATGGTACTTGATTAGAAGAAAATTCATTCCAATGTTCAATGGGAAAAGCGCAACATTTTCAAACTTTGTGCAAGTCGAGAAGAAAATTTAAATGGATGGGACATTGCATTTTCAAAAGAAGCACAACATTTTCAAACCTTCAATTATGAAGGATAATTATCTAATATAGTTTTCAAAATATACTACTAGATAATCACCCTTTTAATGATACGGGCCCACCTAGATTCTTCTGATTTTTTTGTAGACAATGAAATGGTGCTGGATCTACGTTAGAACTGAAAGGATGGAAAGTAGTGCGCACCAACAATAATCTTGTTATGTCTGCTAAAGTCGACAACCAACTTCAAAAGACTACAAAGCATCCCACGGAAGTCGCGACTCTAGTTGACTCCAAACACAAAAACACAACTGATACGACAACAAACACAATTCTCTTAAATCTTCACAATTTTAAATTGACAATGAAATAATTAAATAAATGTTTTAAATTCTCAATTTAACAATGTTGCAACACAATATATATGTAATGTTACATTGTTGTTTCCTCTGTGATGTAACGTGTTTAATAGCGTGTGACTAAATCTAAAATGGCATAAGAGAGAATACGGGTCGTCCCCAAAACACAAGTTATCCAAGACTAGGTTCCCCATTCAACATACTTAAGAGATAAGGCAACATGTTTTGACAGTGGACCACGATGGAGACTCTGGCTCAGGCAGTGGAGGTACTTGTTTTGCAGTGATGGGTAACGGTCCGGATCCTCTTTAGTGGAACAGGATGTCCGGACCCCTCTTTAGTGGAACAGTCATCCTGTTCCGTCCAATTAGTGATGCACCAACGTTTTTGTAATGTTCATCACTAACCGGAGGATCTTGTTTCGATGGTGGGTATCAGTCAGTGACATTCATGTAGCTGCAAAGATAAAATGACCCTCACACCTCCACTACCGTCATTATAAAGTGCAAAATAATGAAAGACACTCATTATTATAGCCGCCATGGAAACCACCAAGTATAGATATCAGTTCTCTAAAATTGTAAGACAAAGAGGGGGTACTGATATATAACTTACATAGGTGACTTAGTGAGAATATAAATGAAACAACATTAAATGTGTCATAGTATTATAATTATTCAAGAATTGTGTGACTACAAAAAGACTACTGATTTTACATGAGCAATCAAAGTCCACTATGAATGATAGAAAATTGGAAAGGAACGGAGGATGGGAAGGATGAAAGATGTACTTTTCAGGAAAAGGAAAGAGTCTTCAATGGTGTTCGGTTGGTAGGCTTCAAGGGGAGGGCTTTTCTCCTCTGCTCCTTTATTTCATCTATCAAATGAAGACCCTCCATTCCTTCTTCCTTCGACCCTCTTTCTTCCTCTTCCACTTTTACTCCCTATCAAAAAGACCGCAATAGTAACTCGGTTTCCAACACAAATTGCTAACAGGAATAGAACACGATTCAAACTACTCTAAACAAGTTTGTAACAGATTTTGCTAACAGAAGTCAAATAAGAAACAAAATTCAGAAAGGTTTAACACAATTTGCTAACAAGCATTAAAATTCACACAAGATAGATGTTAACCTAAAATAATGTCATTTCTCATGTCAGTGATGAAAGTCATCAGACAGAAAAGCCCCCATTTAGATGACAACACTTAAACAACCACAATCTTATGGAAAATCCTCAATTTGAGACGAAGTCCCAATTTTTCTAAATCAAGACCTTATTTTGGTGAGACAAAAATCAAGCCGCATTCTGATGAACTGTCCAAACACCTAAAACACCAAATTAGAAAAGACCCAATTTTATGAAAGGCTCCAAACAAAAGAACCACAATTTGATAAAAATCCCCAGGAACTGCAGTATTTGCTGTAAAAAACGGTACATGATTACCAACTAACAAAGAAAAGTTGGACTGACCACTTTGTTAGGCTGATGATGAAGAAGGCTTAACCTTCTCTCTCAGGAACTGCAATATGTGCTCACGTTTCCAGTTGTCAACTCTGCAAGGAAAAAACCAAGGGGAAGTAAGTTCTGTAGAAAGAAATATAATACATCAAGAACATTACTTTTACCCTGACAGGTACATATGAGAGATTTAATTAGAACTAACACATAGGTTATGTCTCTCCAAAAATTCTTTATCCTCTATTTTGCCAAATGCTACCCGGATTACATGACTCCCATTGGATTCATGAACTCAAAATCTTGCCTTTGTTTAGACATCAGATTCAAACTATATAAGCTTCACATGCACCAAAGGTGCCTGTTGTTTAATCATAGCCAATGTCCACTCATTTTGAGACAAGTGGTGTTCAAGAAGTGAAGAAGAAAAAGAGGAAAGATTCCACGTCTCGTGTGACCAGTGCCTTCAATCAGTAAAATGAAGCTCACCTTATGGTTTCCTTATATTGGCCATCATCATCTAACATAATCAGCTTTGGTGGAGAATTAAATATATATTGAACTTTGACAGATGGGAACTTTTCCTTTTCTTCTTCAATGAAACCGACAATTTCAGGATAGAACACCAGTTTTCTCATGCAGACCTCTAGAACTGCACCAGAGTAGATAATCTGCAGTTTCACTTGAGAGTTAGATACAGTATTTTTCTCGATAAAATTCTGTTAATCATTTATATATTACAAGACAATTAGAAAGAGTATTCACTTGCAATAAACACATCAAAGTAAAATAGAATAAATTCTGATATGAAAAGCTGACACCAGGAGAGGAATAAAAGAAACCGCGGTCAACTATAGCAATACCGGAAGTAATTGCAGAAGAAGAAAGTTAAGGGAGAAATAATTACTGCTACTTTCTCTCTCTCTCTCTCTCTCTCACACACACACACACACACACACACACAGATACCCCGCTTCGCTGCATTATATGTACTCTTTTATCTCCTCTTTTTTTTTTTTTACTAAATTTATCTCCTCCTCTTTCAGGATAGAACACCAGTTATCAGAGGGAAAGTTGTTTTTGTGTTGGTTTTTGCTTTTCATTTTCTTTTTAATGAAATCCAAAATGATTTAGTGCTTCTAGCTGTCTAACTTTGATTTTCACAATCATATAAACTATATTATGTTGGTTCAATAGCGGTTAAGACTTAGAGTTGACAGCAAACTTGGGAATATTGTCTCATATTAAACCTATTTATTTTAATTTGTCTGTCTAACATTACAAAATGAATGTTTAACATTCAACTCGACAAACAAAGCTTTTGCCCCAACTGGTAATTTGAATAAATCAAATCTTGCTATACCATTATACCCACTGCCAGTTTTTATGCAAACCTTGCACCATCATTTCTTTCCTCACCGCCTCAATCCACGTTCATGTCCTTTTTCTCCTGTTCAAACACTAGGAATCAGAACCATTACATTTGGTCCTTTTTCATACCAAACTTTGGATTAGTTCATATATAATGTCACTCAAGTCCAGACATGCCTATAATTGTGTAATTTTAACCTAAAAGCTCAACAATATGCAAATGGTTATTCAGCAAGGGCTTACCCTCCCAATAATAGTTATGCGCCCCTTGAATGACCTCCTATTTCTCTTCCCCCACATACATGAGATCAAGCGCTATTATTCTTACGCTAAACAAAACCACCCCCCCCCCCCCCCCCCCCCCCCCCCCTCTCCTCCCTCCTTCAATTTACTGAGAAGATCAAACACATTACAAGGTGAAAACCAGTATACCTTAAACAAAGTTTACTAGCACCAAAGCTCCTTAGTCAGTGGGACAATGAAGAAGCGAACGGTGGAGGTTGTCATACAACACTAATCGGATTACTATTCTTCTCTTTTGAGGCTGTCAGTAGTTGGAATATTCCAAAATTTAGCAGGCCACAAAGAACCTCACCTTGGTGGGAGCACTTCATTCCCAGATAGCAATAAAAGTGAAGCCACTATTTGCAAATATACCAGATTCCAGCACTTCCCCATCTCATTTCATCATCTCCTTCACCCACCTGCTCAACGTCCTAAACAATAACATTTCCACGCAAAACCACATCCAAGCTACCGCATCCTTGAAACTATGTAACAGTTAGCCACCAAAGCCTCTTTCTCCACTGCCAAGGAGAAAATAATTGGGTAAGAATCTTCAAAATGACATTCCACAGTGCTTATCACGCCAAATCGCCCCTAATTGGTATCCTTCATCCAGCAAGTGACACATAAAACTCCTTCCCTATATACCCTCCACTGAAAGCATCCTTTTCTTTTTCTTTCTTTATTTATTTTTTCTTTTTGTCTTTTTCTTTTGAACATATTTACCACTGCACTAGTGTCAGGTAACCTAATTGGTAGTGTCTATGAGTACTCATACCAGAGACCCGGGAGCAAATCCCGCCCGTCCATTCTTCATAGCCCACAAGGCACCTCTTTAACCTTACGAGATTTACCAATCAATGAGCTCCATGTGGGCATTATTTTATTGTGACATGTGGTCCAACAAAGCTGACACTTAGATTTTATCCATGCTTGCACATGGTACCTTGACCTTGGACTCCGACATATGGAGGTAAGATTGAAGTGGAGTCCAAAGTGAAGTGGATTCTTAAGGGAAAGCATCACCGTTTATCTAGGCTCTAGTTGAGGTTATCTTTACAACTGCACAAAACTCCTACATCACCTTGGTCAAAGGTTTTCTCCTGTGATTGGACTTGCTAAACCTTGAATTCTACCTTCTCCTTTTGCGCCATCTTGGTCCCCGCTCTACACCTACGCTGCCTTCATTACTGTGCATTGTGATTTATCTAATGCTTGGTGGGTTCAGGAGCATGATCTATGGAGTTCCTAGAACTCAGTGTAGAAAAGGTGTGAACTCGGGTTGCATTGCGCTCTTTTCTTGGAATCCTAGGGATTTTGTGGCTTACTGGCTGAAGCCAAGGGCGCCAAGATGTTTATTCCCCAGGTGGGCTATATTTTGCTGGTCTTTAAAAAAGAGATGCAGAGTGCACGTATTCTTCATATGTTACCCTCAGTGCTTCCATGAAGGCATCTCCACTTAACTCTGTTGATTACGATGCCCCAACATGTGTCAGCTATTGTCAACTGTTCCCTATATGCTTAGAGGGACTCTCTTACTTTGTTTCTGAAGAATCTAAGAGAAGAGGCTACAGCACCCTACTTAGACACCTATAGTTCCTATTTATTGTCTAAGCTCAATAAGCACTACATTATGTAACCTGAAAAATTGAATCCATTTCACTTTGGACTCCACTAAACGGTGATGCTTTCCCTTAAGAAAATGGTTACTTAAAAAATTCATAGGGCCAACTGGAGGTACTTTGGGGCACTTATACATATTTTTGGAGTTAACCTTAGATATTTTTATCCATAGACATAATATAATTGGTCTTAACCACATTGACAATGCTATGGGAAGATTCTTATTGCGATATTAAGAGGTCTTGAAAATCCTTAGTGAAATAATGCGTCAAGGAAAGAACATCATGCAGCATAACAATTTCAATAAACTCCATAACAATTTCAAGAAACTAAAAAGATGCAAACTTCGGTATACATCATAAAAGTTAGTCAAATACATTTAAGTTCACATTTTATTATGCGTTTCTCTATCTTTAACATTCTATATTGCAGAAAGATGCTTATCAAAGATCCACACCAAAAAAAAAAGTCAGTCAAATACAATGATAACTATTTTCCCATTTTCTTCTTTAAAAGAAGAAGAGCACATAATATTAAAATGCACAAGCATGAATAAGGATACTTGTTTTACTGATAAACCAACTTATTCTTCCCTTATTTATCTTGTACAATTAACCATGGACTCTCAAAGGTAAATGATGACTATAGAAAGGAAATATATAAAGCATATTTATGAACCATTCAGTCACAAGAGGTACCAGCATATCACTATGTAAGAAGAACGTTCAAAGCACAATTTTCAGCTCATAGACATTATAATCAATTCAATAGCATCCATACCTTGCTCATGGAATCATCGGAATCTTCTGTGCAACACTTCAAACAATCAGATACCAACTCTGCCACCAATTAGATGAGTTATATTCCGCATAATATAACCACAAAGACAATAAAACATTGAAATTATACATACTCGTATTGTTCTTAACTAGTACAATGAATACATCAAAAAGTTAAGAACCAAATGCAATATCATGTTCTGCTATGTTGAAATTGGAAATTTAGTACTAAAAAAATTTATTTTTGAATTAGTTCTGCAAAAACTAAAGGCAATTGTTTAAGAATTAAAAATTTGAGGAAAATTTGTCAATTTAGATTAAAAAAATTAAAACCATCCTCCAGTGTTGTGATTAACATTCAAAGAAAAACTCAGACATTGTTAGGTCAATATTCTGCAGCTTTTGCTTTAATTTCTACCTTAGATTAGAAAATTTTCAAAAGTTAGTGTTAGTTACCACCAAGGTCGAAGATGGAATTCATGCTACAATCAAGGGTATTCTGGTAATCTTTATATACAAGGGTATAAAGATAAAATAACACACTGGTGCACGTGCCAGATCAATCTAGGTTTCTAAAGTTTCATAAATTCAATTTGTTTTGATTCCCGTTTAAAACTTGCATGAAAAGAGTTTTGATAACTTCCTTATTGGAGATTTTTGCAAGTATAAACCTACATAAGACTTCGATCCATTGAGGTATCGATCGAAACCCCCGGAGTGATGTCGATTGATCAAACCTTTTGAAAAAGTAGTTTTCAAGTTGGTTTTAAACCACTACTTGGTTGCCTACAATATGCACTATGCTAAGGTGGAACACACACATAAAATATCATATAGAGAGTAGATTATTGTGAGTTTTGAGAGCGCACGTTAATTTTCTTTTGCATTCACTATCTACACTAATTGGTGAATATATTCGTCAAGTGTTGACATCTATCGTTGCATACTACAAACAAGAGTTCAATACGACTTTTTCATTCACCATCTTCATTGAAGAAGCTTGGATGACTAGTGGATGATACCAAATCACTAGAGAAGCAGATTCATGAGGAATGGATGCTGTTGACAAGTGAAAGAGCTAATTGAAGAATTTCGGGAAAAAGTTTGGAGTCTTTTATGTCAGGGGGTAACTAGGGGATTTAAGGGGTAGAATCTATGAACCTAGGTTGTAATCTCTTTCTCTTATAGTAGGTTTGATATGCCAGAACTAGATCATGTGCTTTTTCCCTACCTCGGGTTTTCCACGTAAAAATCTAGTGTCCATTCTTTATGCTTTTATTGCTTATTATTGTTGTGGAGTGTTTAGATTTTTGTTATTTGCTATATACAGCGTTTCAATTTCTACTTTTTTAGTCTTAATTTAAAAATTAATTAACGTTAAACAAGGCCTATTCACCTCCTAGGTTTAGATCAGTGGACCTTGCACAACTCTCTATCAGAGCCTCGGGTTCTGGTCCTATGAATTATCCATTAGTATCAGAGCGGGTTGCTCAAATTTACTAGGTAGATCATGGAAGGCCTTAAGGAAGGTGATCTTATATCTAGGCCCATACTCTTAGAAGGATGTAATTACAGTTACTGAAAGCTCGTATAAGAGTTTTTCTAAAATATATGGATGAAAAGGTCTGGTATTCCGTAGAACTAGGCTACTCTCCTACTACTGCAAACGTAATTGATCCTCTTCCGTGGGGATCCCAGATGAGGGAACCCTAGGAGAGCCACTGACTCCAACTACCTTCCATGATGAAAGGAGAAAAAAAATCAGAAAACTCTTATTTGCGGTGATAATGCCAAAATATCAAGTTTTGCTAAAACTATGTAGCACTGGACTAAAGGATAAACCAGCTGAGTCTAGTTTGTTAGATTTATAAACTGCACTTTTGCTAAAGATTTCTGGAAAATTCTTGCGAAATTTCATGAGTGAATTACTCGTGAAATATTTCTAATAACAAATGTTGACCACTAGGATTGAAAATCTTAGAATGGAAGATCATGAAACTTTTAGTGAATATTACACTAAAATTAATGACATAGTGAACATGCTTGGTAAGGCTATACCGGAGAATGAAGTGTTCAGAAAAATTCTTAGGTCACTTCCTAAATGATCCTTCAAAAAAGAACAATGATCTCACACTAAAATTTGTGTACTTTATTTTCTATTGATGCAAGATTGCGGATATGATGAATGCATATTGCAAAATAACAGGTATTAACAAAAATTTAAATCTCAATCATCATACCAACTAACTGAATTTTAAACAAGGTTTATTCAAAAAATTATTTAGTTGCAAAATAATATCCTTAAGACTTATTCACCCCCTCCCCCCTCTCTCTAGGTCTAAGTCAACTCACATCGACACATTAGAGCCTAGGAAACAAATTCACCTACCATCAAATCCAAATTCAAATAAGCTCAAAAACTCAATATTTCTCATGATTTGTACACGTAATCAGAACATAAATACCCCCAACCACTACCTAGATCCCCTTTCTTTTCTCACATTTTCACAGCAACCAAATGGGTATTCAGAATTTTGTATAGAATGTTCATATCTAAACGAATATATACAGGTTTCTCTGGTTTGAAATTATTCCAAATTTCCATCATGAATACAACATCTATACATGAAAATTAGCAACAAAAATTCCTGACTGCATGCAAATTAACCACATAAACCTGATTAAATCACCAAAACTCATAAAAAATCCATGATTACCAGTGTAATTTATTAAAAGTAATACTTATCTTGACAACATAATCAAATTACACCATTTCTTTAATGCTATTAGGGCTATTTGGACGCCCTTTAGATTTGAATAGACAGTTGGCCAAATTAAATTGAATGGAGCCATTCACAGAAATAGGAGAGTTGACCAAATTAGTTTAGTTCCGGGTCTCAACATCATCTTTGACATGAATATCATTTTAAGACCTCAGAATGTTATGTAAAAGTAAATCAAGAAATTCAAATTCACATGGAAATCAAAACAAACCATCAGAATTTGAAAATTCATTCAAATTATGAATAAATAAACTCTCGCGTGGGCTACAAGAGAAACGCCCAAACAACTGGATCTGCAAAATTTTAGAGAGAGAGAGATCGATACCTTTGTCTTTAACATATTCTGCGAAAGTGTTGCAGTCTGAGCAGAGAGCGAGGCCAGTAAATCCAAGAGTTTCGCACTCTTTGGAGCTAAGCTGCTCTGCTGTTGAGATCAAAACTAGCGGAAACAAGAACAAAGCGTGGATCAACAACACACCCATCTCTCGTCTCTCTCAAGTCTCAATTTTATGGCCTAAGCTACACACACATGAATATATATAGTAAAATACACACTTCTTTTTACTTGTTCCAATAATAATAATTTTTTTTACCTAAGCCAGTTTTACGGTAGGGAAGTTCCATTTTTATTTTTATTTTTTTTAGCGAAATTTTTTTTAGAGTGCCAATGATTTTTAAGTTAGAAGTGTAGTTTTTATTTGTAAAACTGTATTGGAATTTGGCAAATTTTGATATGACTCACTAATGGGACTCCAACATTAGATGAGTTAAGCGAGTATAAGTTGACCTTAAGTGAATTTAGATCGTAAACGACACGATTAACTTATTTAATTAATTAATCATATCGTATTTGAATTAAAGGGTGTAACTAATTAATCATATTGTATTTGGATTAAAGGGTGCAACCGTGTAACGTATATTTTTCTAGTTTTTCCTGTTTGATTGGGTAATATTAATAATTTAAATAATATAATATTTTGTTTAAATAGGTCATTAAACTGGTTGTAATCCATTTAATAAACCGGTCGGATTAGTGATAAGGGTGTTAATACGATTATTAAACGGATTGTGTTTAAACGGATTGTGTTTAAATTGAGCTGTTTAATAAAATACTTCTAAGTCGACACGATACTATTACGATCCATAAACACGAATTGCCACCCTACCAATAGGGGTCGCGGTTGTTTATGTAAATTTAAGCTGGATTTTTAAGCTTGATAGTATGAACGACACGGCCTATTAATTTGTAAACATATTTATTTACAAATAAAGTTCAATAACATGTTGATGAATAAGGTCATTGATGTGTTGAAAGAAAGCGAGCGAGCAAAGCTTGTTAAAACCCAATTACATGCACTATTCATACGAGATTAATGTGATAATGATGATTTACTTTATTGCCATTTGGTCAAATTCTTGATCTGATAGAGGTCCATAGTGAACAACACAGCAGAATTATCATCTCTTGATTCAGTCTTATTTTTTAGGGTTTGGGCAACCGCCATACGACACAAACAACTTACGGATAATATCTATCCTTATAAAGCCTCCAGAATTACTACAATAGATGCTTAAATGGTTGGAATATATATATATATATTGGAGTACACAAATTTCTCCAACTAAAATTCTCTTATCAGTGCAATCACATGAAAAAAAATCATTTAGTAGTTATGGAATTAAGGCAAAGATGATGTTGACGATGCTACGAAGAAAAAAAAAAAAAGTAGTAGTAGTAACTGACAATACACATAAGAGCATGCACACACCACACACACAATGGTCAGGTGCAGTAATAAATGAATTCAATAAACAAGTTTCAAATTTTCATATGGTCTCTTCGATGAGCACATTACAAGTTTACAACTAACATACACAAAGCATTATTGCTTTTCCAACGCTAACATTGACATTGCACAAGAGAACAATTACAAGGGCACACCGCTCGTTCTCTTCGGAGGAGACAGGGTGAGAATACATCAACGGCAATTTACTATTACAGTTACAACAGTTGCTTGTGGTATACATGGTATATAAATAAAAAGGACGAAAAAAAAAAGGAAAAGAAAAAGAAGAGATGGTTGGAGCAATAAATAGTCAAAAACCAATATATCAAGATTTCTCAAGGTGCTTGTGTATTCTCTTGAACTGTGGATGAAGTAGAGGCTATGTCGACAATCTCATTACCAGAAGTCCTTGACTTAATATATGAGCGGGCCACCTCTAACATCAACTCCACCTCTTTCTTGTACTGCAGAACATTTAGATGTATATTACTCTAATGTTCTTATTATATGATTAAAAAACTAATCTGAAAAATTCAACTTCGAAGGGAAAATGAGAAAATCAAGAATGTAATCAATCAATCAGAGTAAAAAAATAAATAATAATAAAAATAAAACTATACATACCTCGGCGATAGCACTTGTCTTAATCTTAGATTGCATCACACACCATTTTTTGAAATGTGCACCTGTATAAGCAAAATTTCGGTACTTTATTTGAATGACAAACTTCACTAAATAGGACACATTTACCGGGGAAGTGAGTTAAAATACCATACAGCCATATAGTACTATCTGATTCAAACATGATATTTTGTTGGTCGAGAGAAAAGAAGTGGTAAACACAAAGCAAAAGAAGTAGGTGAAAAAGAATGAAACCAAGAGCATGGATTGATGAAAAAAGAGCATTTTCGCAGGAGAACACGTTGAAGAGAAAAAATAATGAAGACTCGGGCAAAACAGAAATAAATGTGCATTGGCATCTTTGCATTTGCATAACCAACTCTGAATGTAACATTAAGCGGAAAATTGTTCTCTGTGGCCAATCCTTTATTTTACTGATCAGTATCTAGACGAGATTGGCTGACTGGAAAAAGAGCTGGTAATGGGGCTAAGCAAGCAAAGGTGAGACCACAAAAGCACTAGTATAAGCATGACTTGGCCTTAAATGGCGTTAGACCTCATCGCATTCTGATGCTCATGGTTTGGCATCATTCAAGCCGTCACTTCAGAACCTGATTAACCAGATCCACTTGCCTTAAAGTGTATCTGACAATACTTTCAACCCTAATATATTCCCAACTCAGAAGAAACAGTGTCAATCCTAAATACTTGAGCTGTTTCTTCTCCATCAACCCTATTTAAAGCCATATCTTCAATTAAACTCGTGATAATTGTGTCAGCTGCATATCGTGATATTTTCCTAAATCCTTTTTAGTCATGTTTCTTAATTACTCGTCACTCCATATTATGAGGAATACCATAGCAACCCAAAAGAACTTTTGTTCAACTTGGCAAGTACTCTACAATCACACAACTCGAGACACACTTTGCACTTCATTCATGCTATTCTATTTATATGCACATCCATCGCAATTCTCAATCCTTATGATGTTTAATGCAATCAGCTCTGAAAGAAAAGATATAAATCTGAAGGAGGGAAAATAGAGATCAAGATTACGCAATCTCAAAGAAAGGGAGAGATAAAAAGCTGCTAGCAAATATTTAATCCTAACCCTTCAAATAAATGTAATCTAAAGGCTAGTATTCTGTCCAGCAGAATAAAGAGCTAAAAAATAACAAAACAGCCCTTAAATAGTCACATGACTCACTTAAAAGGCACATGACTTGTAAAATAAAACCAAAATGACAATAATACCCTAACTAGAGCTTATGGCAAACATTAATTATAAAATTAAAACAGATTTACGACCCATAAACAATGCAGCCCCTATTAATGCAATTTCAATATAGTCTTCTTAGGATCTTCAACTGTTTGAAGAAAATTCTCTTGCATTTGCGCTGTATCAATGTTACTCATAAAACTAAAGCAAAATGGGTTAAGTGGAGGAGGAGTTCTTGCATACTGTGTGATCGATGTATATATTCAAAACTGAAAGGTATGTTCTATAAAGCAATTAGTGGACTAACCATGCTTAATAGAACCACAAAGAAAAAAAAAAAAAAAACGAAAAAGAAAAAAGAAAAAATGTTATGGCCTTAGAAAGAGCAGAGAAGCAATAGAGCAGCAATTTAGGATTCATGTAATCGACCCCAAATAGTTGGGACACGACTTTGAGAAGTTGTATCCTCCCAATATTTCCATACTAAGTTATGCCCCATCACACGTCCTTCATCAAATTAATACATCTAGTTAACAATTATTTTGGATTTAAAAAAACTCTCCACGTAATCTCCTCAGGGACCCAAGTATGTTCAGTTTTCAAGTCAAAGAATGCCACTAAATTTTTTTTTCCTCATCCTATAATAATTAGATTTTAAACATAAAGGAGCATGGGAGCCGAGAGGGAGGTAAGGGTCAAATATCACCATCCTATTTGTGTTTAGAAGCAGCATAGTTAAAAATGGTTAATGTATTTGATCAATGAATAAAGGTTATTAAAGTAGGAACTTTCGAAAATAAATAGAAAATATAGATTCTCATCCACACAGATGCACACAGAGAGAGATTACTCAGAAAAGGTATGAGCTTTAGCAGAACGGACATGTCAATTGTAGTACGAATGAAACTTTCATGTTGACCATGTAGCATAAAGAAGTTGCGATAACTAAGAACTTACCCACTTTAATATCAATAGTGCAAGAGGAGTCCGAGTTAGTCTCTACAGACCATCTACAGTGAACCTGATGCAACCAGAACCCAAAAAAAAATAAAAATAAATAAATAAACACTAATAGTAGAAAATGAAACACGGGTTTATCCGTGTAAGTGAATAATTGAATAGAGATGTGTCGCCAAAAAATAAAATAAATTATTAACAGGCACTTATTTCATCCTTAGCAGAGAATCATGCCAAATAATTATCTGAACAAGATATAAAAGTAAATCTAATATTCACTTTTCCCTCCTTTTTGGTAAGGTCCGTAATTTGTCCACAAGCAGAAAAGTATTATGGATGGAAAACAGCCAATATTGAAACAGTTGTACACAAACACAGTCTATATCAAATGCTTAGAAATTGGATTGTGACCTAATTTTGTGCCTGCAAACATAGTTGTCAAAGTTGTGCATCAATAATACTGTGAATTCATTTTAAGGCATAATGAGTCATAATCACTTTAATGGCAGATATAGTCTCATTTATTCACTCTTAATGCTAAGAGATAGACAGGATATATTTGAATTCATTCCATATCTTTCCTGATGCAATAAATGGTGCCCTAGAAAGTGTTTTGTTGTACTGTGAAAGTTTATTCTTTGTCCTATAAAGTAGTGTCTATGGTTTTATGTCACCAAATGACCATTATTACAGTATTGGGACTTTAAGAGTGTCATAGGAAAATCAAAGGGCATTATTGATGCTATGTGGATAGCTTAAAAGTCTACTGGAGAAGGCAAGTGTCACTTATAACTGTATAATATATCATAAAAGGGAGGGACCGCTATAACCAACTTTCATAAATATACTCTTATGTTTGTCACAGATTTTCCTTTGTAAATCAAGGTTCTTGAACAAGTAATACCAGTCTTGCTCATAGATTCAGAACTCAAACGACTTGGACAGAGTCGAATTCAAGTCGGGCTAGGATCACAGCCTGAATAAAAATCACTGCTGTCTCGACTGAGTCAAGGCCTGAATCGGTTGAGTCTCGGCCAAGAAGATTGTGATTTGGCTAGAATTGCTCGAGCGGCCTCAGCCGGTATGGCTGAGTCTTGACCTAACTAGGCAAAAATGGCCATAATTTCCGGCCTAGGTCTAAAAATAATATTTTTAGCTTCCTTGTCTCATTTTCTTTTCAAATCTAAAGACCAAAATAGAGAGAAAACCAAACTTCCACCCTATCAAAAAAAAAAATTTACAAATCAATTGTTCCAAAGATTAATCAGTAAATTTTGGGACTTTTTAGTTAGCTATTAATATATGTGTATAATATAAACATATTTCATAGTGTCCATAGATTAATATACATTTGTTTTGCATTAAAAATAAAATTTTAAATAAAATTCCTTAAAATTAATTTTTTTTGAAAAATTATATAAAAATTCAAATAAGCATATAAGTAATCTTTAATTTATATGGTTTTCATTTGCCAACTACACATATATTAATTTCCAACTTCTTAGGGCCTGTTTGGTATGCATTTTTTTTGGCCTTTTTGTTTTTGTAGAGAACTGTAGCAGTGAACACCGTAGCAACGGGTACTGTAGCAATAAATAGTAGCAAAAAAATTGAAAAACTCTGAAATGGCCTTTTTAAACAAGCCATTATATTTTTTAAACTTGCAACACTTTTTTACCAAACATGTTTTTATGTTTTTTCTTCCAAAAATTTTGCAACAAATACACATTACCAAATATGATTTCAATTACTATTCAACACACTATACAACAAAATACTTGTTTTGTTTCGGGTTAAAACAAAAACACAAAAACAAAGCGCGTACCAAATAGGCCCTTAGTTATTAGAGTATATACTTTTGTGAATATCAAATGTTTATTTTATTTTGCATTTGTGGACTTAAATTTAGTGCAAATACAAATTATTACACTGATTTTGCTGATAGCGTCTAATTTAATTTACAGGCGCACCTTTGAATATTCAATAAATTTGTTAAAAATTATTAAAAAACAGGTTTTTATTGAATTTAGATTTAAAACTTGTATATCAATTCGTTTTGATTATGTTTCTTATGCTATGCTTGGTTGGAGGGAAGGATTGAGGAGGGATGGATAAGAGGAGGGTAAAAGAAGTTGTGTACGTTTGGTTGAAGGGAAGGGAAAAGGAGGAGGAAGCATGGAGGGATGCTTCATCCCTCATTTCTTTGTATTTTGCTATTTGAGGGGAAGAGGAGAGAGAAAGCAGGATAATAACCAACAAATTTTTAATTTCCATATTGAACCTTTTCAAAATATGTTTTCTTAAACCCAATTGTGTGAATGAGGGTATATTGGTAAAAAACATAAAAAAACCATCTTTCCCTTCCTTCCAACCAAACACAAAAAAATTGTCATTACATCAATCCTTTCTTTAATCCATTCTATCAAACCAAACAAAAAGTGCGGGAGGAAACTTCCCTTCCCTAGGAATGCCGCGTCCATCCATCCGCTTCTCTCTTCCATCCATTTTTCCATCCCTCCAACCAAAGTACCAAACGGAGCATTATAGTTGAAAAAATATCATGATATCGACAGTCGACAGTCGACTGCCTGTTACGTAACCCAGATTGTGTTTTAAAACCTTAGGTCGTTCTTATAGCAACAGATAAGTTATTAAGATATGGCAGAACCAATAATGAGTCAATGAATAGGAAAACAGACTTGGACAGTCTTGTTCGATCTCCTTCAAGATTTATGCCTTTGGTATTATGCAGACACATTCTTTAGTTGGTTTACTAATATTTAAGGCTGCTGAAATGACTTGTGCTTCCCTTTTGTGCATAAAAATAAATACAGCCTGTATCATATTTAAATATGGAAAAAGATATTATCACACTAATGGCACAATTGAACCTCAAAATAAAATCAGACCAAAAGAAAAAAAAACAAATCCAAAAAGTAAGGAGTCCAAAGCACCGAATACCTCAAAGTAAGTACCAAATGGAACATCATGTGCCTGTTGTACAGTCTCAAACACCTAAAAAAGAAGAATATAGCATTTCAATTCCATCAAAACACACACACACGCGCACGAAGGAAAAAGAAGAAAAATAGAGATAAAAACTGAAGAAATCAATAAGAAGAAAGTTTTCACTGAAAACTAATATAAATAGGATATGAAAAATAGTCACACCAGCAATTTCTTATCGGGTGACAAAACAATGTGTTGCCACTCTGTCATTGCGGTGTCCGGAGGGCACATGGGACTGTTACAGAGAGATCTGAATGTTATTTCCCTGACTTGGCCATCATATTCATCGGCAGGATGCCACTGTCCCATCTGAAATAGCAACAAAAAAACAAAAAAAAAAGTGTATATGAAAAAAAGTTTAGATTACTTGGTAGGTAAATGTACAACATAAATGAGAATCTTTGCTAGTGATAAAGAAATTATGATATATCACATGGATAGTTTAAAAACTGGTTGAACATCACCCTAGCTGTGTGCATGCCTGCTAGGAACATATAACACACTAGCAGGACAGTTTGGAACAACCTAGATTCGCTAATCACACAAAATTCAATGCATATATATCTAGTTGAGTTATGCCTCCTAAGTCCTATAAGCTGATGTTAAAATATTTACCAGCAGCTAATGATTATCACATTTGGTTCATTTTGCAGCACAATAATGGTTTGCTGGATTTATGCTCAGTTCTGTATTCTAAGGTAGATCCTTTTTAATATTTAAAATTTAGGTATAAATGAACATAATCATATCCAACAGCTTAGCATCAATGCATCAGCGGTTTGCCAGCATCATTGTGTAAAAGGCGTGTAAGATGTGGTATCTATGGCACACCTTCTAAATGCAAGTCTTTTAAATGCCATATCCATGGCATGCCTCGAAGCAAGGTGCCCATTAAGCATCAAGGCACCCGAGGAGGAAAAAAAAAAAAAAAACTTTTTAATTGAAAATTCTTTTACGTTTTATCCAAATGTTGATGTTAGCCTCAATTTAATTTAAGATCTTTTTTTCGCATGTTATATATTATTGGATTTGAATTTCAGTTCTAAATTTTCTTTCTTCCTGTTAATTTTCTTTCTACTTCTCTCTATTATTTTGATGATACATTTATTGTGTGCTTGTTATTAAGATGTATTATTTTATAAATTTATACACATAATTATATTTTAGAATGAAATATGTTAATTTATATGCTTTTTTCTCTCTTTAGAATATAAATAGATCATGCTATTAAATTGATCATTCTTGAATTTTTATTTTTATTTTTATCTTTTTGTTGTTCAAGGACACCACCATCAAATATATTTCTGGCTTGTTATATACAGTGAAGCTCCACAGGTATTTATGAACTCAAAAAGACAAATATAGTATTTTTAGGGAGACAAGGGAATGAAAAAGAAAAGAACTAAACAAAACACTGACATGATCTGGATTTATAGAATGGAACAACAATAATTTAAAATATTGAAAAGAATAAGAGGCGTACATCAATCGTCTATGTTCAGTCTCTGTTTTCTACTGAAGCAAGGAGGGAAAATGTTTTTAACTAACATAGATCTTTCAGTTAATAAGACAAGCACTCTGAGAAACTTCATTGTCCGAAGGTTAAAAAGTAAAAACAAAAGAAGAGGAAAATACTCCTTAACAAGCAAAGATTCCCCAAAAAATTCCAAGGGGTTGGTTCAAGTGGGTAAGAACTTGGCCCTAGTGCCTCAAGAAGCATCAGGTCTAAGGTTCGAATCATCTTGGGTGCCAACAATTCCTTGAGAGGGGGAGGGGGGCGCATTACACTACCATAAATCATCAATGTGTTCTTTGCACATAAAATATTTCAAAAATGAGTGAAGCACTCATGTTAGACACTATGTTCTACACAACCAAGTCATGAAGCTCATGGTCTATAAGAATAACATAAGACGCTTCAACAATATAGTTATGACCCAAGTGCAAGTACAATTGTAGAATAGTGATCAACTTAACACTATATTTTATAAGAATAATATTAGGCAAGCTATACTTCATAAACAAAATGATAGGACAGGTTAAAAAAAAAAATTGTATTTTGTACAAAACATAAATTGAGAAAAACATGTTTTTTTCTAACTAATAAGTTTTCATGTTCCTTATAAAAAAAAATGCCACAAATTGATATCGGCTGATGATAAGCACGAATGAAAGTCCTTGAGAAAGAAAATGTGAAATACATGCATTTGCTAGAAGCTAAACTGGAAAGTGGCACCAAATGAGAACAAGGCCGATGAAAAATTAACATACATACTGTGGTAAAAGTACAACAAACACATTGACAAGGAGTGCTAATTCAAGTGAAATGTAATAATTGGACAAGAGGAAGACCAAAACTAAATAAAAAAAGAAGGAAGATTACGAAAATGCGAGAAAAGAGGATGTTTCTTTAACAAAGACAAGATATAGCTATATAGATTTGAATGGCAAAAATATTAGCATGGCAAACCCCACAAGCTGGGATTAGGCTTTCTCAGTTGAATTTACTTGACATGTTTAAGATAGTCTTTGACAAATTTAAAGCAAAAGAGAGAAAAGAAGCCACTAGTTTAAACACTGAACAACTCAAATGGAAATTGAAAATAAAATAAAATCCTCGTCAACAACAAGAAAAACCAATTTCTAGCTATTCTATCAACCATTTCTTCACATATTGAAGGGTTTATTTTGCTGTTTAGACAATTTCTTTTGTAGATAAAAATATAGTTCTATATACTGATTTTGATTTACATCAAACTAAAGACCTTTTTTATTCTCTTAGTTTATTCAACCGAGTCCTTGGGGAACTATGTTACTAAAGTGTCTTAAACATGTCTTTATTATTTATACTATTTTTTCCTTTTACAATTTGAACTCTTATACCATGTTAAAAACCAATTGCCTCAAAAGCTTCAATTGTTAGGGACTGACCAAATAGTGATCATCAAGATCTCGCGTTATATTCTATTGAGTGAAGCTTGAGCGCAACCAGAATTTAATAGAAATCTCATCTCACCTCGATCTGGCTCCTATTTTTACTTAGTTACTCGTATAGCTTCAATTGTTAGGGACTGACCAAATAGTGATCATCAAGATCTCGCGTAATATTCTATTGAGTGAAGCTTGAGCGCAACCAGAATTTAATAGAAATCTTATCTCACCTCGATCTGGCTCCTATTTTTACTTAGTTACTCGTATAGCCCAACAAGCACACAAAAAAGAACTTGCATGTCTAAAAATGACTTCAAGGGTCCTAACACCTGAGCCACAGATCAGTCTTAAAAGACTTTGATTTTTTAGATCTACAGTGTTATATAGAAGGAAACATGTCTATTCTGCCTCAAGCACTTCTACCAGAAGTTACATTGAAGAAAATGCATGACTTCTCAACCTACAAAAGTTTTGAAGAGAAGAACCTTACAGCATCTCCCACTTAAAAGCTGCAGACTATTTCACAATAGCATACATGACGTAGCAATTGCCGAAATTTCATAATAGCCTACATGACATAGCAATTGCATAACCAACGACATATACTGTCTTGAAAAATGAAATGAACATAGACTTCTTCAGTAGTAAGAACTCAAAAATATAATCACAAACTCAAGCTTAAAAAATTAGGGAACTTCCTTTTGAAGGTATCATTAAGTGAAACAATTCAATTGACAACTAAAATGCAATTTGAGAAGACTACAATATTCAAGTAAAATCATTGTAAAGTATTGGTACTTACAGTAAGATTAGCATCCTTTCGTACAGATCGATACTCATTTGTAAAGTTCGAATCATCATTTAACAACAGTTCAAAGAACTGCTCTGCTGTGCTTGGGAAAACGTCCTGAGAATTTTTATGACATAATGTATAACAAATATAAAAAAGACGAACATACTTCCAGGTTGAAGTATATATATATACTAAAATAAACACTCTTAAAGATTGAGTATAACATCAATACGTACATTGTATATACCATTAACAACTTCTTCTTTAATAAAAGGTTGAAACTTCCCAGTCTTGGGTGTAGTTTCTTCAGGAACCTTAACCTGCCTTTTACCCCCTCTGACGGAGCTGCTATGTGCCCGCAATGCCGATTGTTCATTTTCCTAGAGTCACCAAAATGAAAAAAATAATCAAAAGACCTCGTTCACTGTTAGCAGTGGCAGAGATAAAGGCAAACAAAAGGTCAAAAACAGAGGCAATATGGGCACAGAATTAACATTAAACAAGCTCAGGAAAATCAAAATTCGTTATCCTAGAAAGTGTATACTGTTTCATAAAGTTACAATCAATATTATTATTTATCATCTGAGATTATTAGTTAACGAACAAAAAGTAGAATAAAAAATGTATTTCTATATTTATTAAGACTGGAACTATATTTTGTAGTTATTAGAACAGTAACCATCTTAATCATGTTTCTTCCATTAGAACAGGGCTCCTTGTCCTTAATGACCTATGCTTGCATGATTATATTGTTGGTACCGCACCAGGCTATGGCAAGAGTTGTAACAATTAAACCATAAGTGGCAGAGGAGACCTTGCTAGCCATTCAGGAAACGAGTTAAATAACGCTACTGGGCGTGGTAATCACTGTTGCATACTGCTTACCTTACTCTATAGTTTCCTCCCTTTTTTCGCTTCATTTATTCTTATTTCATTGGGAATTTGATCTTAGTCAGTTTGTTATTTCATATTTATTAGGGAAAATACTAAAAACCCCATTTGACCTTCCAACTTTTTGCATATCCCCCTGGCTTTTAAAATATAAAAAACCCTAAACTATCAAATTGATTATGTGAAATTACTAAAATGACAATTTGATTGATGCTCACTGTTTTGTAAAAAATCCACTTTGGAAATTACTAAAATGATGATTTGATTGATGCTCACTGTTTTGTAAAAATTCCTCTTTTTTTTTTTTTTTTTTGATAAGTAAATTGAATTAAAAGCGTTCAAAAAGGGGAACGCGACCCAAACTATACAAAGACAAAACGGAGCCTATGAATTCAAAGAACTCATAAAGTCAACAATCTCCTCAAGAGAGGAGTAGTCTCTCCCCTGACCCCAACAAAACAAATTACAAATGATAGAAAATTTTAACACCCCAATGGAGGATTCCTTTCCTTCAAAAGATCTTCCATTACGCTCTCTCCAAAGGCTCCACCAAATACAAAAAGGGATCACCCTCCAAAAAACTCTGACCTGAGCCCCCACCCATTGGCCCCTCCACATATCTAACAACTCCCAAGACGTCCGAGGCATGACCCAATGAATACCAAACAGGCCAAACATCAAACTCCAACAATCATGAGCCACAGGACAGTGCAACAAAAGATGATCCACCGACTCCCCATTAATCTTGCAAAGACAACACCTATTAACAATGATATGTCTTCTCTTCCTCAAGTTGTCCAACGTCAAAATCTTACTCCAAGCTGCAGTCCACACAAAAAAGGCCACCCTAAGGGGCGCCTTAGACCTCCACACCGTCTTCCATGGGAATGAGGTACCATGAAAACCAGAAAGGCACACAAAAAAGGATCGGACCTGGAACATCCCCTGAGAAGAAGGCACCCAAATCAAAGAATCTGCCCCAGACCCCTCCACCTCCTGTCTGTAAAGAAGAGCCAAAAACCCAGTGACATCATCCAGCTCCCAATCCTGAAAAGCTCGCCGGAAACGCACATCCCAAGACAACCTTCCACTATCAAGGCGATAATAGTCAGCAACCATTGCATGTTTGTCAACAGCAATCCTAAAAAGCCTGGGAAACAAAAGGGCCAAAGGCCTATCATCACACCATGGATCCTCCCAAAACCGGATAGTTCTTCCATCCCGAACTCTGAATCTAATATGTTTGGAAAAGGCATCCCACCCCTTACCAATGGCCCTCCACACCCCCACTCCGCCAACAGACCTGACTGATCCAGCTGACCACCCTCCTCTCTCCTCCCCAAAGCGACATGAGATAACCTTTCTCCATAATCTATGTCTTTTCTTACCAAATCTCCAAAGCCACTTACCAAGAAGAGCACAATTGAAAGTGGCCAATCTCCTAATTCCAAGCCCTCCCAACCGAATAAGCCTGCAAACTTGTTCCCATTTGACAAGATGATACTTGAACTCTTCTCCGCGACCCCCCCAAAGGAAATTACGTTGGAATACGAAAAAGCGAAAGAAAGTACATTGGAAGGCTTGACAAAGTGCTCTTCACTAACGTAACTTTACCGCCCTTTGACAGATATTGTTTTTTCCAACCCGCTAATCTTCTCTCGACCCGCTCAATCACCGGGTTCCAACTTCCCACCCTCCTAGCCGAGTCCCCCAGCGGCAAACCCAAGTACGAGATGGGAAAGCGTTGCGTCCCACATCCTAGAACAGCAGCCAGAGTGTCCACCTCCTGAACTTCCCCCACAGGAACAATCACACTCTTTCCCACGTTAACTTTCAAACCAGAAACAGCCTGGAAGCAAACCAAGACACATCGCAGATACCTCAACTGGGAAATATCAGCCTCACAAAAAACAATAGTGTCATCCGCAAAAAGTAAATGAGAGATCTCCAACTGCTGAACTGATTCAGGGCCAATCTTGAAACCCCTAAGAAAACCCAAATCCACCGCCCTTCTCATCAGCCTGCTAAGGGCCTCCATAACAATAATAAAAAGAAAAGGGGAGAGAGGGTCCCCCTGTCTCAACCCACGAGAACTGCCAAAGAATCCCGAAGGAGAGCCATTCACCAACACCGAAAACCTGACAGTGGAAACACAAGAAACAATCCACTTCCTCCATCTCTCACCAAAACCCATCCTCTTTTGAAAATCATTTAAACAAAAATTCCAATTTAAACAAGAATAAAATAGATTTTGAGCCTTTAAAAGATCATACCTAGGTCATAATTGCTCACTAATCACTATGGCCTCAACTTGCCTTAACCCAGATATGTGATTAAGCCTTGAGAGCTTTTGGGCTGCGCTTCATCTCCATCATCTCTTGAGGTTGTAGACAAACAACTCATAAATTTTTTACACGCACCATAACCCAAGTTTTGACTAGAAAATTGCCAACACATGACTCATATAGTCATATACCTAACATTACTGTTTTGCCACATAGATATATAAACCAGTTTTTTGCCCCTCAAATTCTGCATTTCTCTACTCCAAACAAGTTTCTCAAACCTCCTAGCCCATCAAACAACTTAAATTTACAAATGCAAATGAGATTTTTTTTAAGCAAAAAAATCAGATTTTTTTTTTTTTTTTTTTTTTTTGATAAGTAAAGAAAAAAATCAGATTTAAAAATCTTCAATAAAAGCTGTCTGATATTGCAGATAATTCGTATGATTGCAATTTCTTTTTCCTGCTTTTCACCTAGATCTAACATAAAAATATTGTTCTATGTTAGTTCATAGACCTTAATATATCCATTTTTTTGAATATTTCTTCTTTTTTAAAGTTAGTAAGTGATTTGTATTCATCATCATCATTATCATCCTTGCCTTACTCCCATATGAATGGGGTCGGCCACATGAATTCTCTCTCTCCAACCTTCTATTAAATGCCATTTCACCTACTAAATTTAACATTTTAAATTCATTTTTAATAACCTCATCCCATGTTATTTTTGGTTGCCCTCTCCCTCACTTACCTTTTATTACACTAGTCTTCTTTGTTTGACTAGCGCGTCTCCGATCTCTGATGTATGTGTCCAAACCATCTAAGTCTACTCTCTCTAAGTTTCTCACCAATGGGTGCTACACCTAATTTTTCTCACTTTCATTAGCGACCCTCTCTTTTAGTCACTCCACTCATCTATCTTAAATTTCTCATTTCCGCTACATGAAGACATTGTTCTTGTTTATGTTTTTGGAGCCCAACATTCCGCTCCGTACAACATAGTTGGTCTATCAGCCTATGTGTTCCCACTAGCTTGTCTCCATTTTATCCAACCAGCTCCAATCCTACTAGTTATATCACTATTTATCTCTACATCCTTTTGTATTATCAATCCTAGATAACGAAAATGGTTGTTTTGACCAATTTTTTGGTTTGAAGTGTTGTCATCACAAAATCAATGTTCGAATATTTATTGTCCGAATATGTATTGATTTTACACTCCATATACTCGGTTATAGTTCGTCTAATTCTTAATCCTTTCAATTCTAAAGCATGTCTCCACATTTCTAATTTTATTGGTAAGTTCTCTTCAGAGATATCCAAGATCACGATATCATTGGCAAACATCATGCACCATGGGATCTAGTTTTGGAATTTTTTTTTTTTTTTTTTTTGTTATCTCATAAGATTATTGAAAATAAATATGGGCATAGCACCGATCCTTGGTATTGGTAATCCTACATTTATGGAAATTCACTAGTGTTACCACACATGGTACGAACTTTAATTTGTGTATTTAGAAATTGATGTTAGAGATTCTGTTTTTTTATTTGCATTCTGATTTCTGTTTGGTTTGTAATTTCCTTTTCTAGTTTGTCAATAGTGTTTTGCTTTAGGATTAGGTGGTTTTGGGTTGGAATACAGGTGTTTCTTTTTCCTTTTGTGGTTTCTATATATTTTATGGTACAGGGGTCGCGTCCCTTGGCGATTATAGTGAATTGCTTTTGTTACAATTAACCTCATTCACTTGACCTTAATTATTTGCATGGCTATATGACTCTTGTTTGTCATTCTGCTCTGACGTCACTATGTGCGATTTCACCACACTAGGGGCGATTTGTGAGGCGATTTGTGCTTTGTTTGATTGGGATGAAATCCTTTCTGGAAACTGCAAGACCACCAAGGATCTAGCTTGGTGGGGAAGTGAAGTCGACAGTTCCTCACCAAGGACCGTCGTTGTACATCGACGGGGAGTCCATCGGAGGAAGGAAGTCTGTTCTCTCCTCTTGTTTGGTCGGAAGATTTGATAAGTGGGGAGTTGTGATCGTGTGAAAGAATGGGCAGTGCGGGCTTGGAATACGACCTGTGGAGTGGGGGTATCACCATTGTCCGACTCACTGCTTCTTTTCCGGTTTCCTTCTCAGGCAGAGAGGCCAAACGTGTGCTGAAAGAAGGGCGACGACAGTGGGGTTATGCAACTTTGAG